CATGATATGGATTTGGCCATGACCAGTTAGAATGCCTGTGACTATGTGCAGATTTTGTCTAGTCATAGTCAAGTATTTGTCAGGATAACTTAAGAGCTCTCTGGTAACTCTGCAGACTCTTGTGTCATCCCATCTTTCCTTGAATTACACATAACGTTAAGCAGCTTTTAAAAATAAGTGACTGAACTCAAAAATTATGTAAATTTGTCGATGAAAAACAATAATTTTTAATGTAGCAAAAGCAAACTTATGTGGAAAAAGCAAAAATTTGTTTGGTTGTGGAACTTTTTAAATATTGTTTTATATTTTGTTGATTAATGATACAAATTCTTTTATTTTTTTAACAACTTTTAGTTTGTAAAAAGTGCATAAGTATATTATTACTTAAACACTTTATAATAAAAAAAAAAGAAAAAACAAAAAAATAAAAGAAACAGTGATGTAGGTATTTAACATAACAGATTGGTTAAAGGTAAAAGAAGTAAGAGAAAAAGAACAATTATCAACTATATAATTCATAAATAATAAGTTCTTCCTTAAATTGACTAGGATTCTGAACATTTTTAAAATTTTGAGACAGATTATTGAATTGATCGATCCCTTTATGAAATAAGCTTTTCATAGAACTACTTTTATTAGTTGTTTGTATATAAAATTTGATAGAGTTTGCTGCCCTTGTGTTTCTTTGATGTATTTCCGTGACCGGGATTAGTTGACAGTTAAGATATTCAGGCAACAAATTGTTTATTATTTTAAATATAAAAACCATTGTTTGTACATATAACAGTTTTCAACACTTAGCCAATTTAAGGCATCTAACATAAAATGAATACTGGTATATTTGTTATAAGCTAATATCACTTGCATCGCTTTGTTTTGTAGGACCTGTAGTCTATCAAAATTGGAACATCCTGTATATGAGTGATTCTCTGGCATTTTTACATTTTCAAAAAGCTTGGGAGAAAAAAAAATGTTTTTTAAATAGATTTGCAACTTGTTTATCTTAAAGGTTGTACTAATGGCTTCTGGTTTCTAGCTGGCTAACTAAATATTTTCTAAAAGTTGTGAGATAAAGTTGGAAGATACCTGTCATGTTGAGAAATTCGTCATTACCGTCCTTTATGTTCTTCTGCATGAAAACGAGTGAAGTCTTTATTATTATGAGATTGTGTGTCATACATATAACTAGTGCATGAACATGTAATGAAAAGGTGTGCAGTTAGCCATAAATAGGCAAATAAATAAATAACGTACTACCACGCACGAGGCAGGTCTCTCTGCCTTCTGTGGTATACCCTCCATTTATTTCCTTTGTAAAAGTGAAAAATGAAACTGTATTTGATTTTGTATTTTGTATTGGGAAATAAATATTATTATTATCATTATTATTATTATTAAAAGCCAATTACGCTTTCTTTATTCTAATGGTAACTGGAAGAATAAGGAAAAAGTAAAATAATCGAAATTTACAAGTTAATCTTTTTTGTAATTTTGAAAAAACATATGAGATATTATAAATTTCATTAGGAATGGTTAGTCACTTATAGTTACTTCATATAAATCCACCAAATCGTATTTTGGGAAAACTATATAGGATATATTTTTCATTTGATGAAGAAGGACGGTAATTTATTTATTTATTTATAATACAATACTCTACAGGTCATAAACCCAATTACAGAGCAGGAATTGACAGAATATAATTATTAATAGATCACATTTTTTATATGAATGTTAAGCACATAAAAAGAACTTGTATTTCGTAATAGGTAACAAATTAACTAAGATAAAAAGTGAGATTTTATATCTGACAAATTGCAACTAAATATATCAAGATCATTGACAATAGAATTTGTTACTGTACACATGGTATGGAGCGGAGAATTTTCCAGAACATTTGTGCGAGATGTATTTATATAAAAAGTATTCGGGTGTCTGGAAGAAATTCTGGGAATGCAAATATTAAACTTTTCTAATAAGGTTGGGCAGTCAATAATACTTTTAATAATTTTATAAGTTACTACTACACTATAATAATCACGCCTTCTATTGAGACTGAAAAAGTTATGGTTTTGTAGTAATTCAGAGTGAGGTGTACCTATTAGAGGATAAATGCCATCAGTTTTCAGGCTTAGCAGTTTTAAAAATCGTCTTTGAATTGCTTCTATTCGATCTATATGATACTGATAAAAGGGGCTCCACACAACTGAAGCATATTCTAACTTTGATCTTATAAAAGCATAAAATAGAGTTTTTAAGGTAGAGGTTTCTTTGAAATCACTACTGCTACGTGCAATTAATCCGTACATTCGATAGGAGGAGGATACAACATTATCAATATGCTTATTAAATGATAGTGCAGTGTCAAACGTGACGCCAAGATCAGTAAATGTTTTCGGTCGCTCAAGAGCAACGTTTTCTATTGAATAATTAAATATTAGGATATTCGTTTTTAAACTGTATGATATAACTTTACATTTATCTGGGTTTAGTGACAAGTTATTTTGATAACACCATTCAACAATCCGTGTTAGGTTTGCTGAAAGGTTCTCGCAATCACCTATCTTCTCTACGAGGCAGTATAGTTTTAGGTCATCAGCATACAAAAGCAAATTTACATTTATAACATCTGCAATATCATTAATGAACATAATAAAAAGGAGGGGTCCTAGATTCGATCCTTGTGGAACACCAGAAGAAGCACTATATTCAGCAGACCTAAAACCATTAAGCTGGACATATTGCTTTCGATCCCATAGATAGGATTGAAATAGTGAAATTAAAGAAGGAGATAATCCAAAAGCTACAAGTTTGTTAAGCAGAATGCCATGATCAAGTCTGTTGAAGGCCTTAGAAAAGTCTGTGTAAATAACATCAGTTTGGGCTCTGTTATCAATAGATTCAGCAATATATTGGGTAACGGTCAGGAGGTTGGTGACTGTTGAACGACTTTTTATGAAACCATGTTGATTTATACTTATATTACAACTTACATGACGACATATAACTCGCTCTAACAGGATTTCAAAAACCTTTGCAAAGTTGCATATAATAGAGATAGGTCGATAATTTGAAATATCTTGTCTATCTCCTTTCTTGAAAATGGGACAGACCTTTGAGGATTTCCAGACCTCTGGTATTGTAGCCGATTTTAAACAAATATTAATTAGTATGGAGAGGGGACGAGCAAGCACAGAAGAACAATCTTTTAGGACAAAAGCTGGAATATCGTCTGATCCGGTGGTCTTTTTTGGCTTAAGTGATCTTAGTGCCTCATATACTTCCTTTTCACTGAAGCTTGTAATATTTAAAAAGTGATTATTATTTGTCCCAGAATTGGGTTGAAAAGGGAAAGAAATAGTATAGGACTGTTTAAAAAGATTTGCAAAACCATTTAGAATATTAGAAGGCCCCTCCAGCATTTGACCTTCAAAATTCAATACTTGTGATATTTTGGAACTACCTCGTTTATTATTTATAAATGCCCAAAATCTGTTTGGGTTGTTATGTATTTCTTCCTCAGTTTTGCCTAAAAATTTCTTGTATGCAACATCAACATCATGCTTTATTTTAGCCCGAAGGTGTTTAAAATCTTCAAAGGCCTGTAAATTGCTTTCACGCTTGTATTTGCGCCAAATTCTACTTTTAGTCTGTAAATCTTTAATAATGCTACCATTGTACCAAGGAGGATATTTATTTTTGGATTTAAGTGTATATTTGGGACAGCAACGATCGAAAACGTTATAAAGCTTGCCATAGAAATATGTGGATGCATCTTCTGAATTATCAAACGCTTCCAAGAAGGTCCAGTCAATAAGAGATATTTGTTCATACATTTGTGGAAAGTTGGCTCTTTTGAAGTTATAACTGTTCTGAAAACAGGATTGCAATTTACATTTGAAGTTATCCTTTATCTCTAGTATACAAGTAATATCCAAAGCAGGATGATGTCGATCTTCGGTTACAAATGGATCCAGTGATTTCTCCACATGACATTTTTTATTAAAAAAACCAGGTCTAGGAGTCTATTAAGGTTATTAAATACAAAATTATTTTGAGAAAGATCAAAAATTTGTGAAAAATTATTAAGGGTAGTGATTTCCCTATTAGTTGCACCAGAATCCAGATAGTTAGCATAGTCGCTAACATTAAAGTCTCCTACAACGAGAACTGTATTATTATGTAATATATGCAACAATGCCAGGGCTTCAAAAAGTTGTTCAAACTCAGTTAGTGGAGTTTGAGGTGGTATGTAAATATTTAACAAATAAATATATTTATATAAAAAGATTATTTTAACAACTATGATATCAATCAATTTAAGCTGAGGAAAGTTAAAATCAGATAGATTAATTTCTACGGAAACAAAGTCTTCATGTACCCCAATAAGCACACATCCACCTCTCGTTAAAGAAGTCTGTTCAAAATTACGATCCATCCTGTATATGTTAAAATTATCCGGAAATAATTCTAAATTGTTAATGGATGAGTCAAGAAGGACGGTAATGACAATTGTGGGACGGTAATGATCAAAAGGTAAGGTAGCGTGTAAGTTGTAAATAAAATATCTGATTTCTTGAACAAATATAAGTATTAAAATGTGTATTGTTCTTATGTTATGTTATTTTATTAATACAACAAGATTATATATAAGTATGTTTAATCTTAATTTATCTAACCATGATACAAGATGACAAGATTTTAGCATGGATGATTGATGACGATCTGACAACCATCTGTCAAGTGTCTAACGTAGAACATAGAACACGAACTTAAATAAAGATATAACATCAGACTGTAAAAGAGGAACTTGCATAAATCAGAATATAGGATGCCAACTAATAGGCAACCAAGAATACACTATGTTACAAAATGTATCAAAAATATAAATAAACAATAGAACTCCAAAAAATAAAACGAAAATGTTATTTATCTACTTAAAGTATTCCAATAACATTACAAACTAAATGATGCCTTAAAAACAAATATTAGTATTAGTCTTAACAAGGTAACGTTTTTAATAAATCATCAATGCGTGCTTTTTGCACAATACTGAAATGTCTTGCAGAAATTGGTTTTGGGGGATATTCTAAAATGCATAAAATTTCATCGGATGCCACAACTTGTATATCAGACTTTTCTGGCCAAAAGAAATGTTGTCCAGCTCGAGCCATGAAAGATATTTTCAAATTATCTTCAATAGTATCTTCTACTATCCCCGGATACCAGTTTGTATCATAAAGCACAGCCACCCAATCACCACATTTTATTTCTGCTGTAGTCTTACTGCAAGCTTGACTACTTTCCTGTAAAAGAAAAAAACATAATTTAAAGTACATACTGTGCTTTTTATAACAAAAAATAATATTGCTACTCAGTTTGTGACTCACCGTTGAAAGTACAGAATCATCAGGAGAATTATCAGGTGCATTATATGTTATTTCATCTTCAATTTCGTAACTTTTATCTAAACTCATTTCATCATTGTCATCTTTAGGATACGCTACTTCACATAGTTCGTAATGAGAACAATCTTCACAAATACAACTGAGGTATTTAAATTTAAGTTTCTGGGGATTGTCAGATTTCCATAACGCTTGATGTATTTGCATTGTTCCTTTAATAGATTTTAATGATAATGGAGCTACATCTCGGAATTTTCTAAATTCATTTTCGTCTATCAAAAAAAGTTTTATTTTTGATTGTGAATTTGTAGTATGAAGAACATTGACAAAGTCTTTTGCGCACATTATGTCGTGGCCGTGAGAAACTGCCAAATCGGCCATCTTCTTTAATGATCCTCCAACTCCATCTGCAGAACTCTTTCCATGCCCTGCCTTTGAGAAATTCCATGTTAGTATCTTAAAACCACGCATTTTTCCAAAATAAGTTATTAGAAAGAAATTTATTTTATTTCGATATTGAGAGGTAGGACCATCACTAATAAAATGAATGGTATCAAGTCCAGAGATCAATTTTGTAGCTAACTCTAGTGCTGGTTGTAAATGGGCCCAAATTGCATAAGGTTCGTGGCAGAGTTGATCCGAAACAGAGGTAAAGGATTGGTGGTGCAATTCTTCACCAATTTTAAAATATATGACACCAGTGTGCAGACTAAGTTGGGGTTTTGATGCTCCAAAGTGTACACTCTGTATTTCGTTTGAGTATTTACATCCATAGTTCTCTGAAAAATCGATGTTTATGATTGCTGTACGTGATGAAATGATTTGCCGCAATTGCTTTATTTTTAGAAAGTGATGTTGGATATTGTATTCATGGATTAAAAATTTTGGAAGTAAGTCATTTAGTTTTTCAACTAAATCTTTAACCGAACAAGAAATTCTTTCCTTGGCTGTAATTCTTACTTTTATTTCTTTTCCATTTTTATCTTTTTTTTCTTCAACCTTACTTTTCCACTCATAATAAAAAGTAATGCGAGCTGACAGTTCTTCATTAGCTAAATGACATTGTTTGATCTTACATGATTGACATTCGCGATACATGCAATATTTGTCCTTATAATTGCAAACTAATTCTCTAATAACTTCCAAGGGTATCTTACTCCTTACAATCTTAAAGTAATGTAGCTTTTGCAAAATAAATTTAAAGTTTTCATATTTGACACATAAGCATGTATCTCTGTTAGACACTCTTGGTTTTAGAACATAAAATGGACGCAATCTACAGAAAGTGCTAAAAGATATTTTTGAATTAAACTGATCGATATACTTTTTGTATAGGATTTTTAGTGTTGAAGTGAGGTACCTCTTTTGTTTTGTAATTTTTCTCTTGGTAATTGTGTCAAGTTTGCCAGGGGCTGGGATAGTATTTTCATCTTCAAGAAAAAAGTTCTCAATTTGTCGCCTCAAACTAATCATTTGTTGGGTTCGAATCTGCCTTTTTTTAACATGTTTAATTTGAGATTTAACGTGTTTCTTAAAAATGTGACGAGACACAATAGACGCTGCTTCAGATTGAACATGATATTTTTTATGAATAGGAGATGAGATACAAGCTCCCAATATATTTTTTTCCACTTCATTGGAATGTTTCGCCTTTGTCTTGATTTCTTTTACCAAACATTCACCAAAGAGTAATTTCTTTTTTATTTCATTAGTTGGTTGTCTTAGAATTGTTTTTACCTTAGTATCAGGTGTAGGGGAACCTGATTGTTTGCATTTTTTTTTCAATAACCTATTATACCGTTTTTTGTAACGCTCAGCGCATTGCCTTGAAGTTTTCAAAGATTTTTGTAAGTCTAAAATCGTTTTTTTCTGTTCCCTATAAGTCTTAGTCGAGGTCCTTTTTCTCTTATTATTAGCTACTTCTGGCAGAGGTGATGTTGATGGGCTTGAGGGTGGAGTTTGTTCGTCCATAAATTTTTCTAACTTAGTGTGTTGTTTTTTCTTTATTCTATATGCCCTGGAATTTTCTGCCCATTTTTTTCTTTGTCATTTCTTTTCTCGTGTATTCTTTTTTATTATAGGTGTTAACTTTCCTTCTTCTTTCCTTTTTCTATTTCTTTCTTTCTCTCTATCTGTGTATTTTTTATACGCTTCTATGTTTTGTTTCCTTTTTTCCCTCTGCCTCCTCTTTTTTTCTCGTGCTTTTTTCCTTTGCTTTTCATTATTTACCTTTTCCTTTTTCTTTTTTTTCTTGTACTTTTTTGGCGCAATTCTTATCAACACGTGTGGTGGCGCTAGTAGATTGGCTCTCTTTAGCAGTACATGGCCCTACTTTTATTTTAAAAGCATTTTTCTTTGGCAAAACCGATGGTAGAACCTCCCTACTGTTACTATTATCTTGGGACGGTCCTTCCTTTGATATCAACTCCTTGGTTTCTACTTTTTTTTTATGGTAACTTTCTCTTTGTACTTTTTTCTTCAATTCATATTTTTGTTTTTTAGTTAACTCCCTTTTTTTCTGAGCTTCTTTCATATTTTTCAATTTTGATTTTAGTTTGTTTAGCTCATCATCATCCATTATGCCCTAAAAAGTCATAGAAAATTATCATGCGATCATTACCGTCCCTTTGAATCATTACCGTCCCTAGGCAAAAAAATCTTCCAAAGGGACGGTAATGACGGAGACGGTAATGACGTTTCAACATGTTATTTCGCGCCAATTAAAATGAGGTTATGTTCTGGCATTTATAAGGTTCACGGGAGTAATTTGGACTATTTTTACCATCTTATACAAATTAGTAAACCGGTTTAATCTAACTAAACTTTGATTTAGGAATAGGGACGGTCATTATACAAAAATTAAAAATTGTGGTTTTCTTACCTTTCTTAGATGCTCACTGCACAGCAACAACGCACGTGTATCCACTTCGACTGTCAATGATCAACTAAAAAGCGATAAGGTGCATCTTAAAAACATGTTAAATTCTGGCGGGACGCGATCTGGTGGCTGACAGTCGTATTAGAAGAAGACGGGACGGTAATGATGTGCAAAAATCTGGACACACTTTTAATATTTAATAGCCAATTACTATCGTAAGATGATAACAAATTTCGACATTTAATACAATGTTCATAAAAGATTAAAGAAGCAAAAAATCATGTCTGAAATATGTTTATTTCATAATATTGCAGAAAATAACAATGAATAAGTAGGTAGGGACAGGGGACGGTAATGACGTTTGGCCTATTCTTCTTTATATTAGGAGCATTTTTTATGCAAGGATCGTCATATATTCATCGAACCCCATTTGGAAAGATGGTATAGTTTAAATTAATAAATTATTTTTAATGATAACTTGTAATTTGAAATAATAGCTCGCCCGGGACTTGAAATGCAAAAATGCCAGAGAATCACTCATATATTAAAGAACAGCAATAGTAAAGAGGGGTAGAATATGTGTATTATTATATACAGTCAATTTTGTTGACATTGATAAACACAGTGACGCTCTTCATAAAAATCCTATTTTTTTGCTACTTTTTTACAGATAGGTATACTCAATGTGTTTAATAAATTTTATTTCTCTATCCAACATAACTCCTAAATATTTATTTTAATGTCTAAATTTAAATTCAAAAATCTATTGTATAGAAACTTGTTACCAATCATCATAAATTTTGATTTCATCTCATTAACTTTTAATTTATTTTGTTTGAATTTAGATATTAATATCCCCAATTCATGGGTAATGGTCTCAACAACTTCAGCAAAATCATCCCCATAATAGTAGATAAATGTGTCATCTGCCAAATGTTGTATTTTACATTTTTTAAGAACCTGTCTCAAGTTATTTATATAAAGTATGAATAGTAAAGGTCCAAGCACGCTTCCCTGCAGCACCCCAAAAGTATTTAATTCTAGATTTGGTACCTTATTATTAATTTTATTTACTTGATATCTATTTAATAAGTAATTATACAACCAATCATAGACAGTTTCCCTAAATCTATATTTTTTAATTTTTGAAGAAAAATGTTGTGGTCAATCCTTTCAAATGCACGTTTAAGATCAATAAAAACTGCGCAGATCGAGGGGCGGCTCACTCCTGAAAAAAATGTACATGTATTTCCAAAATCGCCTAATCTCCTAAGATTTCCAGAGATTTCCGGAAATCTAGTGAAAAAAAGTAACTTTTATATTTCTATTAGTGGATAATGTTTACGGTAGTAGAAAAAATATTGTTACCCTTTTTTGACGAATGTGAATGTTGTCGCACGAGCCGTAGGCGAGTGCGACAATCATATCAGTCAAAAAAGGGACTATTTCTTAACCAGTGCGGAAAGTGATACTTTCCCGCACGCGACTGCAGTGCAGTCAAATGCGGAAAAGACACTTTGCACATTTTCTACAACCGAATACACAAAAAAGTATATTTACTAATTTTTAAAAAATTATTAGATTTTATTAGATGGAATAATTGGTAAATACTAATTTCAAAATTTACAGTTACAAAATAACAGGTACAAAATAACAGTTACAAAATAACAATTGTAAAATAACAGTTATAAAATTCAAGTTACAAAATACTAGTTACAAAATACCAGTTACAAAATACTAGTTACAAAATACAAGTTACAAAATAACAGTTATAAAATAACAGTTACAAAATAACAGTTACAAAATAACAGTTAATACGAGTTACAAAATAACAATTACCAAATAACAGTTAATACGAGTTACAAAATAACAATTACCAAATAACAGTTGCAAAATAACAGTAACAAAATAACAGTTACAAACTAACAGTTACCAAATACCAGTTACAAAATACCAGTTTCAAAATACCAGTTACAAAATCACAGTTACAAAATAACAGTTACAAAATAACAGTTACAAAACCACAGTTACAAAATCACAGTTACAAAGTAAGTTACAAAACCACAGTAGCAAAATAACAGTTACAGTTACAAAATAATAGTTACAAAATAACAGTTACAAAATAACAGTTACAAAATAACAGTTACAAAATAACAGTTACAAAATAACAGTTACAAAACAACAGTTACAAAATAACAGTTACAAAATAACAGTTACAAAATAACAGTTACAAAATAACAGTTACAAAATAACAGTTACAAAATATCAGTTACAAAACCACAGTAGCAAAATAACAGTTACAAAATAACAGTTACAAAATACTAGTTACAAAATACTAGTTATAAAATACTAGTTATAAAATAACAGTTACAAAATAACAGTTACTACGAGTTACAAAATAACAATTACCAAATAACAGTTACAAAATAACAGTTACAAAACCACAGTAGCAAAATAACAGTTACAAAATAACAGTTACAAAATACTAGTTACAAAATACTAGTTACAAAATAGTAGTTATAAAATACTAGTTATAAAATAACAGTTACAAAATAACAGTTACTACGAGTTACAAAATAACAATTACCAAATAACAGTTACAAAATAACAATTACCAAATAACAGTTACAAAATAACAGTTACAAAATCACTGTAGCAAAATAACAGTTACAAAATGACAGTTACAAAATAACAGTTACAAAATAACAGTTACAAAATAACAGTCACAAAAAACAGTCACAAAATAACAGTTATAAACTAAGTTACAGTTACAAAATAACAGGTGCTAAATAACAGTTATAAAGTTACAGTTACAAAATAACAGGTAGGTACAGTTACTAAATAACAGTTACATGATAATCATTATACTGCTTCTCCATCAATGGGTCATGGCGGCGTTAGCCATAATCCCATTGACGAAGAAATAACGCACTAGTGCGGAAAAGTGACAGTTTTCCCGCACTAGTGCGGGAAAGTGACACTTTCAAAAATAAAATTCGTGCGGGAGAAGGAACGGTCGTAGAAAAAGGTACTTTATAGTTTTCGTAAAATGTGAGAAAATGCTATATTATATTAGCCACTTATTGAGAATATCTAATTCTTTGTTAATAACAGTTACTAAATTGTATAATACAGAAATTAAAGTATCATCTGCAAAGAAATTTGTAAATGATTATTTAAATCGTGCATATACAAAATAAATAACAGAGGTCCAAGAACACTCCCTTGAGGAACTATTTGGTAAATTAGAAATTTTTAATTGTAGGCATTCTGTTGATTCAGTTTTTTTTTTATTTACAGATTTATCCTCTTCTAAATCGAGATCAAAACATATCGACGCGCATTTTGGAAAAACCTTTGTGGTTTGTGAATTTTGTGGAAAATTCATGGCAAAAATTGAATACTTACGACACTATTTCGTTCATCTAGTACATAATAGACCTATAAAAGTATCTCTAAAAATCAACAACATTTCTAGCATACAACATTTAATTGTTCATACTGATGAAAAACCATTTAAGTGTGACATTTGTTTCAAAGAATTTAAACGAAAACCTAACTTACATCGACATTTAACAATTCACACTAATGAAAAACCATTTAAATGCAACATTTGTTTCAAAAAATTTAGACGAAAATTTAACCTAAAAGTACATTTATTAATTCACACTAATGAAAAAGCCTTTAAGTGTGACATTTGTTTAGCACAATTTAAACGAAAATTTGAACTTGACGTTCATTTAATAATTCACACTAATGAAAAACCATTTATTTGTGACGTTTGTTCCAAAGAATTTAAACGTAAATCTAATCTACAGGAACATTTAAAAGTTATTCATGTTGATAAAAAACCATTTCAATGTGAGGTTTGTTCCAAAAAATGTAAACGAAAATCTGACCTACACAAACATTTAAATATTCACACTAATGAAAAATCATTTAAATGTAACATTTGTTTCAAGCAATTTACCCGAAACTGTAATTTACAACTACATTTTCAAACTCACACTAATAAAAAATTATTTAAGTGTGACTTTTGTTCCAAAGAATTTAAAAGAAATTATGATTTACAGCGACATATAATAGCTCACACTAGTAGAAAAACATTCAAGTGTAACATCTGTGAAAAAAGATATGAACGAAAACCTGACCTACTTAAACATTTATTAACTCACGCTGATCATAATAAAGAATGATCCCTAAAATATGTTTCTAAAGTAGGTCATGACTGACAAAGACAGGTACAACTCATATCTGTGATAAGTTCACACGGCTCTGAATTTAATCTATCTATTAAAGTATAGGAATCATGATTTTTTTCGACGGATTTTTACGTTTTGAGGTCACCTGAATCCGTTTTGACTATTTTCGCGATGATGTCTGTGTGTGTGTGTGGGTGCGCGTGTGTGCGTGTGAGTGTCTGTATGTCGCATAACTCATGAACCGATACACAAAAAAACACCAAATTTTAAACTTAAGCTTTATTCCAGCGTCTAATGAACTGATTAGATTTTGGGTAGAGTCGGAACATCTGGGGGGGTACTTTATAGGTGGTCATTTTTATATTTTATGGAATATATCTGTTATTTACGTTTGGAGAAGAAAATTGTTCAAATAAAAGTTACTTCTAATATTATTATCTATAATTTTTGTTCTATACAAAATTTTCCTAAAATGGTCCGTATTCGAGAAATTTGACA